AGTCACGTGGCACAAAAACCACAAAGCGTACGGGAAACGCCGGCATCCAGTAGATGAAGAGAAGAGGACAGACGTTTCGTCTCAGGAGTTATGATCACGATTGCAGGCGTACCAGTGGTATACAAGTCAAAGTACCAGCGAATTGTTGCACTCAACTCGGCGGAGGCTGAATATATGGCTCTCAGCCATTGCACCCAAAATATTCTTTGGACGCGTGCGATGCTCAAGAACATAAGTCACAAGCAATTGGGAGGAGCAAAAGTTTGGCTGGTGGTAGAACCACTCATAAATGTTTAGCCCTCGAAGGATCGTTTTCCTTCGATAACGACAGGTATCCTCGCGGTTACAGCGACTGTGAAAGATACGGTCGTCCATTTAGAGTCTTGATTGACTCGGTTGCGTCGCGTAACTACGCGTGAAAAAAAGCTGTGCTGAAAATACAGAGCCAGAGCTTTCGGATGCACTAGATAAAAATAATGGCTTTATTTTAGTGAAGTCACATCCGTAACAGCAAACTTGCTGTCTGCAGATAGTCATCGCGCTAAGATTCAGTAATTCCGGTGACAGCAGTCACTGCTTTCATCGGGTTGACCGATTGACCACATACTAAACGCTGACAGTAGTCCTCACGCAATGCAATAGTAATCGCATCTTCCAGAGTCGTTGGTCTCTGTCAGTCAAAAGTTGCAAGCAGTACGCAAAGGCGTGAAGATGCTGAATACGGATACGATATCTGTGCGTTTTGAGTTGGAGACACAGGTAATGTAATTGATAGCTCGGTTGTTGTTCAAGTAAAAAATGATGACTTTGAGAACGTGAAATGTCTTCTCGTCCTGAACTTTAGCTCATCGTAGGTACGGTGCAGCTTTAAGGCACAAGCTATGAAAAAACTGAAAGAAAATTATCAAATTTCACGCACTTAACATTTCCCTCCTTATGGAGTTGTAATGAGCCGTGAAATAACTACTGCCAAAGATCAGAAGCGCTCGTAGCTTGAGAAAAGCAACGCCAGCTTCTGTGCAGAACAAGCAATTTTCTGAAATTGATAGTAAATGTACTGCCAGGTGCTTCATTCTGCTGGGTATCGCAATCTCCAGTGCCAGAGCCTACGGAATTGTAGGGAGATCGTAAGTCGAGAGTAGAAGGGTCAGACGAACAAAAGGAGCACCACGATTCCAGATGCAGGCGAAAACACACGAATATGTGATGAGGCTGTTGGACTTTTAACTAGCTCGATACGCTTCCTATGCGCAAGAGTGCTGAGGTAAGG